CCGCGTACACGGGACACACTCAGCACACGCTCCCGCGTACACGGGACGCACTCAGCAGACATTTCCTGTACACAAACACACAGCACACTCTCCCCTGTACACAGACAGATTCTATACACGCTGCCACGTACATGGGACATGCTGTCTACACGTTTCTCAGTACACGGGACATACTTACCATGCTGAGCTGGGCCAACTCTGCCTCGTATGTATAGTGATCGAGAGCCATGAAGAAATACCCTGACTCCACATTAGTACACTGCCTGCCGACAATGTGATTCCGACAACGACACTGGCCAGTTTCCGTCGAGCAGCTGGGTATTAGCAGAAAAGAAGTGAATTGTGTAAACACAAAGGTCAATTGTCTACTGAAGAGAGGCACAAAGCTCACCGCACTAACGATAGATCGTACCAACAGCAGGATAGGACTTGCGTAGGGGCGCTGGGTGATATATGAATTAGGAGGAGGAGGAGATCATTATGCCCTTTGAGACCAGCTTCACCATCTAATAAGATCATGGCTAATATGGCCATGGCCTCAACCCTACTTTTCTGTTTGCCTCCGTACCCTTTACCTCCTGCGTCAATCAAAAGTCTGTCAATCTCAGCCTTAAAAATACTCAATGATATTCAATGAACACGTGTTTTGCATCAGTTTTGACAGATGTTAAGCTAATGGACCTGTAGTTTCCTACTTTCTGCCTCCCTCCCTTTTTGAATAAAGAAGTTACACTTTCTAGTTTCCATTCTAATGGCACCCTCCTCAAATCATAGGGATTAACAACAGTTACCTTACTAACTATTTCTTTTAAGACCTCGAGCTCTTAATGTTGGGGGAGCCCAGCACATCAGTACAAAGCAAATGGTTGAAGCATTAGCAACAATCTTCAGCCAGAAGTGTCAAATGGATTATTCATCTCAGCCTAGTCCAGAGATCCCCAGCATCACAGCTGCCAGTCTTCAATCAATTTGATTCACTCCACGTGATATCAAGAAACGGTTGGAGACATTGGATACTGCAAAGGCTACGGGCCCTGACAACATTCCTGCAATGGTACTGAAGACTTGTGCTCCAGAACTTGCCGCTCCCCTAGCCAAGCTGTTCCAGTACAGTTACATCACTGGCACCTGCCCAACAATGTGGAAAATTGCCCAAGTATGTCCTGTACACAAAAAGCAGGATAAATCCAACCCGTCCAATTACTGCCCCATCAGTCTGTTCTCGATCATCAGTAAAGTGATGGAAGGTGTCAGTAACAGCGCTATCAAGCAGCACCTGCTCAGCAGTAACCTGCTCAGTGACGCCCAGTTTGGGTTCTGCCAGGGCCACTCAGCTCCTGACCTCATTACAGCCTTGGTTCAAACGTGGACAAAAGAGCTGAATTCCAGAGGTGAGGTGAGAATGACAGCCCTTGATATTAAGGCTGCATTCAACCAACTGTTCTCCTATAAATGGAGTCATACTTAACAAAATAGAAGATGGCTGTGGTTATTGGAGGTCAGTCATGTCAGCTCCAGGACATCCCTGGAGAAATTCCTTAGGGTAGTGTCCTCAATCCAACCATCTTTAGCTGCTTCAGATTGCAAAATGTTCAGCACCATTTGTGACTTCTTAGATACTGAAGCAGACCATGTTCAAATGCGACGAGATCTGGACAATATCCAGGCTTGGGCTGACAAGTGACATTCGCGCCACACAAATGCCAGGCTATGACCATCACCACTAAGAGACAATCTAACCCCCACCCCTTGACATTCAATGGTGTTTCCATCATAGAATCCCCCACTATCAACATCCTGGGAGTTACCACTGACCAGAAACTCAACTGGACTCACTACATAAACACAGTGGCTACAAGAGCAGGTCAGAGGCTGGGAATACTGCGGCAAGTAACTCCCCTCCTGACTCCCCAAAGCCTGTCCACCATCTACAAGGCACAAGTCAGGAGTGTGATGGAATACTCCCCACTTTCCTGGATGGGGGCAGCCCCAACAACACTCAAGAAGCTTGACACCATCCAGGACAAAGCAGCCGCTTGATTGGTACCACATTCCACAAACATCCCACTCCCTCCACCACCGACGCTCAGTAGCAGCAGTGTGTACTATCTACAAGTTTTTATTTATTATTCATTCATAGGGTGAGGGTGCCGCTGGCTAGGGCAGCATGTATTACCCATTCCCTAATTTCCTAGAGGGCAGTTAAGAGTCAACCACATTGCTGAGCTTTTGGAGTCACACGTCGACCAGACCAGGTAAGGACGGCAGTTTATTTCCCTAAAGGACGTTAGTGAACATGATGGGTTTTTTCGACAATTGACAATAGATTCACAGGCATCATTAGACTCTTAATTCCAGATATTTATTGAATTCAAATTCCACCATCTGCCGTGGAAGGATTCGAACCGGATCCACAGAATTTTACCTGCGTCTCTGGATTAACAGTCCAGCAATAATATCACTAGGCCATTGCCTCCACTATGCACTGCAGAAATTCGCCAAGGCTCCTTAACAGCACCGTCCAAATCTACAACCACGACCATCTAGAAGGATAAGGGCAGCAGATACATGGGAACACCACCCCCTGCAAGTTTCCCTCCAAGTAAACCACTATCCTGACTTGGAAATATATCACCGTTCCTTCACTGCTGCTGAGTCCAAATCCTGGAATTCCCTCCCTAAGGGCATTGTGGGTCTACCTACAGCACATGGACTGCAGCGGTTCAAGAAGGCAGCTCACCCCCACCTTCTCAAGGGGCAACTAGGAACGGGCAATAAATACTGGCCCAGCCAGCAATGTTGACTTGCCTCCCTTCTACCTTCCTATTTTCTGTGGTTCTCAGGTTTGTGGGAGTGGTAGAAAATGTGTCTGAATCTGTAGAGTAGTTTGTAATTGTCAGTCATCTCAACTGCCTGTCTTCTTGTTGCAGCTTTCTGGTTTTCTATGTGCAAGTTCTTTCTAATGGCGCGAGTGAGTTTTTAAATACTTCCAAGAGAATTATTTCTTAAGGGTCTCACACGTAGTCTCCATGTTTAATGTCCATATCCAGTGGTCAACATTATTTTGATTTACCCTCTCAAGCACTTTCTAGGTCTGCCCAGGCTGCTTCGGGATGAACTTGAGTGCACTGAGAATAACCGTTTTTGCCATCTCATAATCTCGCGAAGCCTGCTCAATATACAAGGCATAAACCTCGTGAGCTGTCTGTCAGCCTGTGTTGCACAAGCGAAGTCCAGTTCTTGTTTCTTTTTGACTACTTAATCTGCTTAGCTACCTTTTCGAAAGAAATGATAAGTGTTTCAGCATTCCTTTCGCCTGAGGCTACAATCAGATTGGCCACGATCTTATGAATTGATGGAACAAGCTTAACTGGCTGAATTGCTCCTGATTTGTACGCTCGTGTATTCATATAGTCATCAAATTTTGGAAGAGCTAGAACAAAATTAAACATCTCTCTATTATGTCTTGGGTTGGACTCAGACATTTCCCTGGCAACATGTTTCTCGGTGCCAAACGCTTCCTTTCAGTGTCAGCCCTTTAAGCTGGTATTCTCTCCCTCCTTGTGCCTTGTCCTTACTTTATATTCTTGCTGGAACTTCTTAAATCCTGTTTCCATTTCCTTTTCCTTCTCCCTCCTCTAATATACTCTTGCCTTCTCTTCCATGTCCAAGCATTTTAATTTCTAATTCTCTTTTCCTGTTCAAGTTGCTTCATCTCAACTGGATCCTGACCAACTCAACTGAATTACATTTGGTTGACTTTGTCATTCTTTCAATGTAAATGTTCTACATCAATCATACCTGCTTTCCTAGCTCATGCTTCAAATTCCAGCATCACTCTTCAGACAATTCCATTAGCCTAGCTTTGGTCATTTTATCCAAGTCACTCAGGGATAAATCTTCCATCTCTAGAAAATTCATGGTAATTTCCCAAGTCTTTTTCATTTCACAATGCACAATGCATCTTTTTCCAATTGTTATTACCTACTTTTCAATAAAATGTGCTTAGTATCCCATGTGTCCCCACTTCTGTGATGAACGAGATGGAACAAGTGCACTGTTTTTCTCCAGTCCTACTACTCCACAGCACAAACTGAAACCTTTTACCCATTCATGATATAGCTAATTGTATGTTTTTTCTACATTAGGCTTAAAATTTAAAAGATCCCTACACCACATTTCTTAAATAAACACAAAAACATTATTGATCTATAACAAAGCTTATGCAATGAAGCTGCAAAACTGACACACTTTGTTTGTAATATGAAAATAGAAATGTTTATCCTTCTAAATAACCCGAAACATGAATACAGAAAAACAGACTCATACATACTGAATATGGGAAAAAACGGGTTTTTCTCTGCAGGGATACATTTTGGGAAAAAAGTACTATTGGCCAATTAGCCTTGGTTTTTGAAGACAAAAAGGATAAAGTTTGAGATGTTCAGATAGCTGCCGATGTTCTGTCATGTGTAGACAAATGTCACCAAATATAGACAGTTGTCTTTGGGATCTTAGCAGATGCATCTTGCTGAAGAAACTCAGTTTTCAGAACAAAAACAGAAGTTGCTGGAAAAGCTCAACAGGCCTGGCAGTATCTGTGAAGAAAAAATCACAGTTAATGTTTCTTCACAGATGCTGCCAGAGCTGCTGAGCTTTTCTGGCAACTTCTGTTTTTGTTCTTGATTTACAGCATCCGCAGTTCTTTCAGTTTTTACTCAGTTTCCAGAAGTTTCCAGTCTCTCTTCAAGGAGACAATCGGGTTTCACGCTGGATTTATCATGAAGGTGCTTTAGAAACAAGAGACATGAGCTGAGGAGTTTGATCTGTGGCAGGATTTCCTTCAAGTGAAAATGCAAACAACTTCCAAGTTTCCAATACATTGTTTAAACAGAAAGCTCAGACATAAAAACACAGTCAGGTGTTTCCTCTAGAGTCAGTTCAAGGAATCAGTGAGCACCTAGAACCATGGGGTTTTCAAGAAATGCCTTGTTAAAATAAAAATCGAATGTATGTTCTTTTTATAAAGGTCAATGAAAAATCTATGATCCTTCAAGTACAATCCTTCTAATTCAACCCTTTAGTAATTGTTAAATATGAAGCCATTATAGCAGGTATACAAAATGGAAAATATATTCTTTTGAATAAAGGTGAGACTGAGAAATGTTGGTGTACAGAAGGATCTGGGTGTCCTTACACAGGAAACTCAGAATGTTAACATGCAGCTCAGTTCTGAGGAAGGGTCACTGGACCCGAAACGTTAACTCTGTTTTCTCCTTCACAGATGCTGCCAGACCTGCTGAGCTTTTCCAGCAACTTCTGTTTTTGTTCCATGTTAACATGCAGGTATGGCAACGAATTAGAAAGGCAAGTGGTATGTTTGCTTTGGTGAGGCCACAGCTGGACTGTGTAGTGTTTCGATCTCTTTACTGAGGAAGAAAGTGCTGCCTGGAAAAATATGTAATAAAAGTTTACCAGACTGATTCCTTAGATTATGAGGGTCGCCCTCTGAGGAAACATTGAGGAGATTGGTCCAATATTCCAAGGAATTTGGAACAATGAGAGGTGATCTTACTGAAATGTATAAAATTCTGGGAGGTTTTCACAGGGTGGATGCCGAGACAGGCTCTTATCCCATGGGCTGGAGAGTCTAGATCCTAGCCTGAGGATGAGGAATTGACCATTTAGGATTAAGATAATGAGAAATGTAATCACCGAGGGGGTTGTGGATATTTGGAATCTTCTACCGCAGAGGGCCGTGCAGACTAAGATGACAAATATATTCAGGAATGAATAGGATCAAAGTGAATCAGGAAATTAAGGATAAGGCAGGAAACTGGAGTTGAGGTAACAGGTTAGCACTAAATGCTGCATTAGGCTGGAAGAATCAAAAGGCTTCCTGTTGCTCATACTTCTTGTGTTTTTGTATATGTAACCCATTCTGTATCTGCTCTCAGAGAGTTCGATTTGGTCTGCTGCACTTAGGAACTTGTTCCATTCCCAGCAACATAATCACGCAGTTGTTTCTGCAAATAAAAAATACACTGAACCTACTGATGCAGCAGAAAACAGAACAGGAATGTCTCAGTTCTGAAAAAGGGTCACTGGATGATGACACTGGAAACATTAATTTTGATTTCTTTCCACAGGTACTGCCAGACCTGCTGAGACTTTCTAGCAATTTCTGTTTATGTTTCAGAAACAATTTCAACTGTCCAAATTCCTTCCCTCACCTCCTTGTGGAAGTATAATTCTCTCCTCAATTCCAGTCTCACCCTGAGTCCAAAAGTAAACCACAGTTTGTTCAGGAATCTCAAATTTGAATGAATTGTCCACTTACAGGTTGTCATATGCACCTCCCACATCACAGTCACAGGCTCGACAGCCATTGAGGTCATGGCTCAGTGCCCAGTGTTCACTCTGTACAAGATCAGAACATCATCCTGACATCATCCAACTGATACAAGTACAAAAAACTTCATTTTACACAGAGGTAGACACGCACTCAATCATGTTCACACACTCACACAGAGATAGATACACACAGTCATGTTCACTCACACTC